AAAAAAAAAAAAAAAAAAGACAGTACTGGAGACTGAACCCAGGGTCTTTACACTGAGCTACATCTCAGGCTTTTTTTGAAATGTTTAGATAGGGCCTCACTAAGCCACCTAGGCTGACCTCATATTTGTGATTCTCCTGACTCAGCCTCCCTAGTACCTGGGATTATGAGAGTGCTCCACCATGTGTGGCTTGACAGTTTTTTTTTTTTTACGGTTTCTCTAATGTTTTTTTTTCTGAGCCAGGGTCTCATTATGTAGTTCAGGTTGGCCTTGAACTCACAGTGACCCTCCTGCCTCAGCCTCCCAAGTGCTGGGATTACAGACATGTGCCATCATGCCTGGCTCCTATGCATTTTCAATTTGACATTTCAGAGAAATAAATTTATCATTTCTCTAATCAGAAAAACTAGAATTAAATTTATTTTAAAATACATTTAACAAAAATATTCCATAGTTTTACATATTTTACATCTGTAGAATATTTACAAATTCACTTCCACAGCATTTACTTAATGTTTACTGTTCTTTCCATTATTTGCCTTTTGGCCTATTTCCTTCAGTAGTACAATACTGTCCAGTGTCCTCTGTAACTAAAAAATGAGCTTCTTGGGCAGTCCTCCTAGAAAGCAAGACCAAAGACAAGGTTGGTTGTTCACGATTAGCTTAAGAGTGACTGTAGCAGTCACTGCAGCCCAACTTCACTACTTTCCTTCCTGGTGCTGACATTCCGCATGCAGTGTGCACAGGGAGTCTGTGAGGGGAAGAAGGTGCTCACAACTCTGAGAAGCATTCTCAATGGAAGCCAACAATAGCACATTCTACCCACTTCATGCAATTTACACTTATAAAAAGTAAAGAGCCCACGAGCTGTATTTTTTAGCTACCTTTCCGTCATAAGCCATATATGAGCTATTTGAAGCTCTCTGAAATAATTTCTTTTAAAAATGGGGGTTTTACCTTGTTCCAAGGCCTCTGTTCTTTTCCGTTTTGCTGCCATGGCTGGGTTTGCCTGCTCCTTTAAGGCTTCCACTGGACAGTTCGGTCTGGGCAGCTGACACCCAGGTGCTGGCCCTGGCCGATTACTGAAGTATGGAGTTTTTAATGCCTTTTCAAAGAAAAGATATCAAAACAAGGTTTTCACTGAGTATCTTGGACTGTGTAGGAAAACCTAGCCTCAGAAATTGTTGGGAACATCCAAAACACTATGTGATCACCCCACTCCCCAAAGCAAAACTGACATCAAATACTTGGGCATGCAAATTACTCCAAATAAACATCCTGCATGGATAATCCCACTACTGTAAGAAAGGAAACTCCCTCCTACTATTTCCACAGCTGAATGGCTGTCTGTACTCATGAAGGACTATCCTTGGTAAGATGTCGTACACATTGGTTCTCTAAACTTTATGAGGTCTATAGTTCAAAACGCAAACAGATGGGGCCAGGGATTTAGCTCAGTGGTACCACGGCTGCCCTGCAAGCCCAAGACCCTGAGTTTGATCCCGGTACCAAACAAAAACAACAACAACAACAAAAAAACACAAACAGAAAAACTTGCTTCAAAAGAACTTGTAAGTTTGTTGCAACATCCAAATATATTCAAAGGATAAAATCATATAAATTCCTAAAAATGAGTCTCTTTAAAAAGAGGTGATAGGTTAGAAACAAAGGACTACAACGGGCTGGGGATGTAGCTCAGTGGTTCCGCCGCCTGCCTCGCAAGTGCAAGGATCCAAGTTCGATCCCTGGTACCAAAAAAAAAAAAAAAAAATTCTAGAAACAAAGGATTACAATCCAACAATCAATCTACTACAAATGGATAGAAATTTTATTCAGCAAAGATTGTCCAAGTTATTCCTATTGATTGCCAGTCCAGTGTTCTATATTTTCTTTACTTGGGTCCAAAATTCCAATAAAAGCAGTTTCATCCTAAATGACAAGTTTGTCATCATCATACCTATCACTTGTCTATGCACACACAGCAGAGTACTGTCCAAAAGCCTCAAGAATTATTTCCTTTAGGAAAATCCTTTGAAAAAAAAGGTCTGCACAGGGCTGGGGATTTAGCTCAGTGGTGCCGGTGCCTGCCTTGCAAGTGCAAAGTCCCGAGTTTGATCCCCAGGACCAAGAAAAAAAATGTTGCCAAGCTGTGGGTGTAGCTCAGTGAAACAGTGTGCACTTATCATGTGTAGCTCAAATCCTGGGACAGAAAAAGAATTCTATCAAAACAAAACCCAATATAACAAAGATACTCCCACAATATGTTACTGCAACTAGTATTAGTTTTAAGTTATACTACTAATGAAAACAACTTGCTAGATAATTTTATGTAGCTCTTCTCATGATGTAAATATGTATGTGTGAAAAGGTTAGTTACAATAAAAACTTTTTTTGGTACTGGGGATCGAACTCAAGACTTTGCACTTGCGAGGTAGGCAGCAGCACCACCACTGAGCTAAATCCCCGGCCTAAGGTTGGAATAAATTTACAATATTTGTTTGAATTTAGAAAAGTAATTCTAATTGTGAAATATCCAACATGTGCTTACTAATATTCTATGTACTGCTGAGAAGGGAAGGCTTATTTTTTTTTTTTTTTTTTCGGTACCGGGGATCGAACTCGGAACTTTGTGCTTGCAAGGCAGGCAACAGCACCACTGAGCTAAATCTCCAGCCCTTATTTATAAAATTAAAGGCAGTAAACAATAATTTGGTAGTCAGCAAAAAACCAAAAAAAAGAGAGAGAATTGCCAGGCATGGTGGCACATGCCTGTAATTGCAGCACTTGAGAGGCTGAGGCAGGAGGATCACTGTGAGTTCAAGGCCAGCCTAGGCTACACAGTGAGTGCAAGGCCAGCCTGAATTACATAGCAAGACCCTGTCTCAAAAAAGAGTAATAATAATACTTTGGTAGTTAGTAACAAACCTCAGGCGGGCAGGGGGTCTACTCTGCATTCTTGATATCTTATGCACTGATGTATTTTGTTAGATATAAAGACCTGTAATGCAGGAGACCAGCTTGAAACCAAATTGAGTAGGCTTTAAAATATTATTGAATTGGGTTATAATCTGGCTATTAATTAAAGTTATGAGTCTATCCTAGGCCCACGTGACTTGCTAGAGGACCCTTTGGCTGGCATACAGAAAAAGAATTCCCTTTGCCAACGGTCACAGTTGAGATCTCAATGACTGGTGACCTTGTGACATCTCCAAAAGCAAAATAACAGTGGGCCAGGGATTTAGCTCAGTGGTTTCGTTGCCTGCTGTGCAAGCGCAAGGACCGGAGTTCAATCCCCGGTACCAAAAAAAAAAAACAAAACAAAACACTGCAGTTGGGGAATTATGACTCCTGTGCAGCCATTCTCCCAGATCAAATGCTACTAAAGATAACTATGACTTGTCCTTCACAAGAATGCATTGTTCCTCCCCTTTTTACAAGCTTGGCTCATCAGTGTCTTAGTCCTGCTGCTCCTTACAGACCTTTACGCCCCCCGTTATGTTGTGTGATCCATACATACTAACGTGTCCAGAGCTCATGGTTTTAGCCAGAAAGAGCTAAGATCAAGTCCCGGCCTCACAAATAATAAACAATCGCTTGTTCTTTATCTATTATTCTTTCATCCTCTGCTGTACCCTCATTCAGGCAGTTGGGCAGCCCCTGACACTGTGACTTTATTTTTCGTTTTCTTTTTTTTAATGGTACTAGAGAATGAACTCAGGGTACTCTACCACTGACCTACATCCTCAGCTCTTTATAAAATTGAGACAGGGTCTATGTTGCCCAGAGTGGCCTTGAACTAGTGATTCTCCTGCCTCGGCCTTCCAAATAGCTGCGATTGCAGGGATGTGCCCTGGAGCCCAGCAGCACTATATCTTCAATACAATGGTCTTCTCCTTTCTGAGGTCAAGGCATTGTACTGTTTACATGACTGGACTCTCTGTTCCTGTTAAGTGTTTATGACTAACGTTTTTGGTGTCCTGGTTTCTAAATAATTTCCCCCACCTGTTTTCATTAGTGCATGTTGGTTATACAGCTTAATTGGTTTCATTTTGGCAGATTTGTACAAGTACATAATGTACTTTAATCACTCCTCATTACCCCCCTCACCCAACTGACCCCCCTAGTTTCACATTTTTAGGGGGGTCAAATGTATAACGCCTTTTGATCATTATCATGCCCCATATTCCCCTCTTACATCCTTCGTCCCCACTTCTTCCACTTGTCTAATCAGTCTCCCCACTTTCCTGTCCTCTGTCTTAGATTCCACATATTAGGAAGACTATGGGGCTGGGGATTTAGCCCAGTGGTGCCGCTGCCTGCCCCGCAAGCAAAAGGACCCGAGTTCGATCCCCGGTACCAAAAAAAAAAAAAAAAAGCAAGACTATGCAATAAATTTGGGGGAAGAGTTGGGGATTGAACCAGGACCTCCTGCATGCCAGGCAAGCACTCTACCAATGAACTACATCCCCAGCCCTTCTTCTTCTTTTTCTTTTTTTTGCTACCGGGGATTGAACTCGGGTCGGCAAAACCACTGACCTAAATCCCCGGCCCCAATATCCCCAGCCCAATTACAGATTTGATAAAAGCATTTTCATTGTTTTAAGGGCTGGGGATGTAGTTCAATGGTAGACTGTATTCCTAGCACCACAGGCGAGGATCTGGGTTCAATCCTCAGCCCTACAAACATAAAAAACAAAACAAACAAATAAACCATAGGTCTTATATTTTTGGATTGCATAACTGCATTCATTCATTCATTCATTCATTCATTCATTTATATCTTTTCTCTCCCTTCTTTTAGGGGTAGATATTGCTGGTATTCTAAATTCTTCAGTTTGATTCTTTTCTTCTGTGTGTTTTTTGGGGGAGTACTAGGAATTGAACCCAGGACCTTTTCAATGAGCTACATGCCTAGTCTCACCCCTCCTTACTTATTTACTTATTTATTGTTTTTTTGAGATAGGGTCTCACTATCTAGTTCAGGTTTGATCTTGAACTTGCTATGCTGTCCAGGCGGGTCTCAAATTCACAGCGATCCTCCTGTCTCACCCTTCAGAGTGCTGGGGTTATAGACGTGCACCACCATGCCTGGCGATTTTTGAGACAAGGTCTTACTAAATTGCCGAAACATGATCTTCCTGACTTCTTTGAAATAACTGTCAGCTTTTTATGTATTACTTAGATGGGGGGGGGGGGGCGGTGCTGGGAATTGAAGGCAGGGTCTTTGCACTAAGCTATATCCTAGTACCTTTTATTTTTTAATTTTGAAACAGAGTCTCCCTAAGTTGCTAAATTGCTCAGCTGTGGCTGAATATGTAATCTTCCTGCCTCAGCACCCCCAGACTGCTGGGATTATAGGTATGCATCACCATGCCTGGCTAGAGTATCTTTCCATTTCTTATAAGCATACAATTTTATCTTACATTACCATTTCCTGACTGACAATGACTAGTATGCATACCTGGATTACAATTTATGGGAAATGGGGAAACCTAAACAAACCACTTTGACTATTAGGCTTGCCACAAAATTTAAATTAATACATAAGAGTTCAACAACAACATATGCCATGCTAGTTTTTTTTCTTTGCTTTTGTTTTTTGAGATAGGGTCTCACTATGTAGTCCAAACTGGCCTTGAACTCACTATGTATCCTAAACTGGCCTCAAACTCCTGGTCATTCTCCTGCCTCACCCTCCCCAGTGCTGGTATTACAGGCGTGCACCACCATACCTGGCTTTTTTTGAGGGGGGCGGGGATTGAGCCAGAGTCTCACAATGTAATTCAGTTACTTAACAAATACAAAAACCTTGTTTTTTAGCTCTGTAGGTAAAATACTTGAAAGGCAAATTATACGTGGTTCACACTTATAATCCCAGCACTTGAGATTGACAAAGGAGAACTGCAGGTTTAAGGCCAGCCTTTACTACATAATGAGACCGTCTCAGAAAGAAAGAAAGAAAAAAGCCAATTATAAGAAATAGGTGTATATATGTTCCTAAGCAAGTATAAATTCTCCTATAATTGTAAATGCATAATATAATTTAATACCAGCCTGGATAGTGTTTATAGCTTAGAGAAAAGACACAAAAGTTACTATTATTTTAAAAAAAGTCTTTCTGGTATTTAATGTTAGGTAATTTTATAAAATTCAATTTTTATTTTATAATGCTACTGTTAAAATTTTATGTCTCCCAATAAAAAATGATTTGTTAAATACCTGTGTGGCTGTAATTCGAGTACATGGATTAAATAAGAATAAGCCTTGTATGAGATCTAGCAAGTCGTCTCCTGCTGCACTGAAGATGTGCTGCAATGGGATCCCAGGGAAACTCTTGAATGTCACATAATCTGGTAGACTACACATGTCCTGTAAAAATATTTTTATAATTCAAATTTGAGTAAAGGACTGAAAGGCATATCAGTGAAATAAAGAAGTAAAATTCAAGGCCAGGGATTTAGCTCAGGGGTTCTGCTGCCTGCCCGGCAAGCACAAGGACCTGAGTTCAATTCCCAGTACCAAAAACAACAACAACAACAACAAAAGAAGTAAAATTCATATTTGCAAATAATAAATAGAAAGTCTAAAGAAATCTATAAAAAACCTCTAGAACTAGTGAATAATACAAGGTGCAGGATAGACGATAAATATAAAAAAACCCAGCTGGGGATTTAGCTCAGTGGTTCTGCTGCCTGGCTTGCAAGCGCGACGATCCAAGTTCGATCCCCGGTACCAAAAAAATAAATAAATAAAATAAAAGAATAGAATTAAAAAAAAAAAAAATATATATATATATATAAAAACCCAATCATAGTTCTATATACTAACAGTGAACATGTAGACACAAATTTAAAACATAAAATACCATTTACAATCACATAAAAGATGAGATAGATAAAAAAAATCTAACAATATGTACAGTCTCGTGTGTTGAGAAAGCTACACATTGCTGATGAAATAAAAGATCTAAATAAAACAGTAAGAAATCTCATTCTTAAGCATTCGAAGATTCAATATAGTAAGAATTTTTATTCTCAAATTGAAACAGGGCTCAAACTTGTGATCTGCTTGCATTCAGCTTCCTAGAGTGCTGGGAAGGAGGCAAGCACCACCCTGCTACAAGTTGTTTAATTTTATTTTAGGAATGAGTGAGAGTGTATTACTGAACTGTAATGTAAAATTTAGCAATTTAAGCTGGGTGTGGAGGTACATGCCTGTAACTCAGCACTTGCGAGCCTGAAACAGAAAGATCCAGAGTTTGAGGTAAGCTTAGGCTACATAGTGAGTTCCAGGCCAGCCTGGTCTACATAGTAAGATTCTGCCTCAAAAAGCCAGTATGTATGTATGTACGTGCATATGTATTTACTGGTTTCTTGAGACAGGGTCTCACTTTGTAGTTCAAGCTGGCCCTGAACTCATTATGTAGCCCAGGCTGGCCTCAAACTTGCAGTGATCCTCCTGCCTCAGACTCCCAAGTGCTGGGATTACAGGTGTGTGCCACCACACCCTCAAAAAGGCAAAGTTTAAAAACTTAAATTGCTATCAATTTTACCAGTTTCAATATATCTTTTTCTTTCCCTGAGGGAAAGAAAACTTGTTGCCCAGGATGGCCTTGAACACCCAGGTTCAAGCAATTCTCTTGCCACAGCCAGCCCTTACTACAGCTGGGATGTAAGCCCATACCACTGTGTCTAGCTTCTGTCCCTTTCGGAGACAATGTCATGGAATAAAATAATCATACTACTGAAACATCAACTGTGTTAATGATAAAATACCTACATCCATCAAGAAGACATTACTTAACCATGCAATATCCTAAAAAAGAGTATTTATGCAGCTACTGAAAAGATTGGTGATATATATTCATATTCAGCAAAAAGAGCTACTTTAGTTGAAAAACAAAATACTACAGTGTGATTCCTTTTTGTCCTTTATGTTGGTGCTGGGATTAAACCCAGGGACTCATGCATAGGATAGGTACACATTCCACCAATAAATTCTATTCCTAGCCCCCAAATTTTGTTACATAATGAAAGAAAGAACATGCAACTCTGTTATGAGGTTTGTGTTTATGAATGTACACTCATAGCTCAGCTTTACACCAAACTATTAACACTGATTATCCCTGGAAAGAAATATTATTGGAGTAAGTGAAGGGCTGTAGGGATGGCATGTCATAACTTTTTCCTTCATTTACTCTTTATCATTTGAAATCCTATAAATAGGATACATTATTAGTAAACTGAGACAATAAAGACATTTTTTTAGTAGCCACATGACAGCACTATAGAAAGCCTATGTACAGGGCAGGGGATTTAGCTCGGTGGTTTCGCCGCCTGCTGCGCAAGTGCAAGGACCCGAGTTCAATCCCTGGTACCAAAAACAAACAAAAAAAGAAAGCCTATGTACAAATGAGTAACTTTACCAAATCCTAGTATTTCAAAGAAAACACATGGAAACTCACAGGCCACTGCTCCTCAGTTGGTGTGCCCAAAGTTTCAAATATTCTTGTAAGTTGATCAAGATCTGAGTCTCCTGGCAAAAAAGGAACCTGGGGTTAAAAAAAAAAAAAAGACGAGACACTGAAATATGGTTTGTGATAGTTATACAGATTAACTATCTATCTACCTACCTACCTACCTATGAGACAGGATTTCTCTATGTAGTCCAAGCTGGCCTCAAACTCCTGGCGATCCTCCTGGTTTAGCTTCCCAAGTGCTGGGATTACAGGCATGAGCCACCACACCCAACATAAATTATAAATTTAATAAAATAACTGAAAAACCGTTAGAAATAAAGTAAGCACTACTTACTTTATTCACTTCTTCTTATTTCACTCTAAGAATCTCTAATAGGGCTGGGGATTTAACTTAGTGGTTCTGGTGCCTGCCTTGCAAGCGCAAGGTCCCGAGTTCGATCCCTGGTACCCCCCCCCCCAAATCTCTAATAAAATCTCACCATGTAACAGGCACTGGGGTAGAGCTTAGAGAATAAGATAGTCCCTGCTCTCCTCTGAGGTAAGGTGGTAAACACGACATAAAAACACAAGATTCATAATCTGACAGCTCAGCATCCTATCCCACAGAGGAATAGCACCTAGACACTCAGGATGGTCAGGAAAAGCTTCCTAGAGGAAGTGGCAACAAAAGGTGAAGGATGCATAGGAGTTCCTGTACTCAGAAGAGCCCAAGATGGAAGAAGAGAATCATTCCAGGGAAGGTACCAAGGCTGGGAAGGAAGAGAATACACCAATAATCCAATCTCACTGAAATAATTTCTTGGCAAATTCTTTGCTTAAAGAGGTGTACTGGGGGCTGGGGGTGTAGCTCAGTGGCGCTGCACCTGCCTGGCAAGCGCAAAGTCCTGAGTTCAATTCCTGTACCGAAAGAGAGAAAGGAGAAAGAGAGAAAGAGAGAAAGAAAGAGGAAAGAAAGAAAGAAAGGAAGGAAGGAAGGAAGGAAGGAAGGAAG